CGTCGCTACTATAACTCATTTACCATATTCTGTATGATCATTCATAAATTTTCTACAATTAATATCTTGATAATTATTGCGAATATCGCAAAACGATATAGGATTTTTATGTTCACATCAACCCATTCTATGTCCCCACAAAATGCCCGGAGGAGAGTGTGAGACACCCTGTATATACACCTTTTTATTTTTGAAGCATAAATTCTTCTTTTTTAATCAATTTATGTGAAACTCGGTAGACGGGGGTTTTTGGGATCGCTAATTACGTATCTGAATTCAAAATTTCGAGATTCAAAATGGCGAATTCAATATGGCAAACGGAAATGCGAAAAGTGGCTCAATTCAGTACTCGGAGGTTTTTGGGATTGCTGATGACAAATCTTTGTTCTTTTTTTAACAATATTATCTCTCTGCAATGTTTTCGTGCTCTTTGCGTTACCAGGATCTAACGGCAAGGACGTGATAAGGTTATAAATTCATTTTTTTGTTTTTATTTTATATACTTTTTGTTTTTTATTTTATATATTTTTATATTTTTTATTTTATAGTTTTGTATTTCTTATTTTATATACTTATTTATTTATATATTTTTTGTTTCTTTATATAAATATATAAATATATAAAGAAACAAAAAATATATAAATAAATAAATATATAAAATAAGACATACAAAATTATAAAATAAAAAATACGAAATATATAAAATTAAAAACAAAAGTATATAAAATAAAAACAAAAAAATGAATCTATAACTTTGTCACATCCTCGTCGTTAGATCTGGGTAGTGCAAAGAGCAAGAGAACATTGCAGAGAGATAATATTGTTTAAAAAAACAGAAAGATTGTCATCAGCGATTCCAAAAACCCCCGAGTACCGAGTTTCATCCGAATCGAGCCACTTTTTGCATTTCCATTATATTGAATGTGCTATTTTGAATTTCAAAATTTTAAGTTCAGATTCGTAATTAGCGATCTCAAAAAACCCTGAATAACAAATTTGAAGTAAATTGTATTTAAGATAAATATGTGGCTCAAAAGGTTAAAGGAAAAGTTGACATGCCAATAACAAAACCACGGTTACTTTTTTGGTACCAGTTATTGGCACGTCACTAAACATAAACAAAACGAAAATTGATAAATATTATAGCTGCTATAATATCTTTGAAGTTTTGCCATGACGAAATGAAGAATAATAGAGCTTCGCATTTCAGTTTTTCTGAAATATAAATGGTTTTTCGCAAGTAGCATACTAAACTCCTCGCCTAATAAAGTCATTCCTGGTGATGCTCTGAGTAAGTCAGTATTTGTTTTTGCTGTCCGCTCCGAAAGGCAATGTTAAAGATCTGAGACAATATAGTGAAGTTGGTGAAAGAGTAGTTTAAATGAACATATGAACGTTGCACACGAGCATCGTTTATTTGACGAGAAATTTGAGTTAAAATATAAATGTGCTAATAACTGTACCCCTGCCAATAACTGTAGCTCTTACCCTATATCTTTTTCTTCTTCTTATATATGATCCGGATCTTACTCTATATCGTTTATATATATTAGTTGTTCTATAAGTTCGTGCCGTGATGTGTTTATACTTCTCGCGTTACGTGTTATAATCACAGATACAAGGATTTGGATGACTAAATTTTTATACTTTAGTTTAGTCTGTAGAAGGCATTCGAGAGCCACAGGTCGTGAAGTTTTATATTTAATACCCGATAAAATAATGAGTGAAATACGTGTCCATTTTCGTCATTTCATGCTGTATGAGTTCCGAAAAGGAAATACGGCAACAAGTGCAAAAAATAACATTTATGCCGTTTATAGGAAAGGTGTTTTATCGGCTCGTACATGCAGAAAGTGGTTTGATCGATTTCGGAAGGGAAATTTTAATCTGGAAGATGAGCCACGTGCCGGACGTCTAGTCGAGGCGGACGAAGACAGAATTCGTAATCTGGTGAACGAAACGAGAAGTTTGTCAGTGCGAGAAATGTCGCAAATTCTAAACATGTCAAAATCATGTGTACATAGACATTTAAAGGAAATGGGAATGGTGCCAAAACTGGACGTATGGGTGCCGCATCAACTCACGGAGCGTAATCGCCTTAATCGCGTGGCAACGTGCATATCATTGCTTGCACGTAACGAAATGGAACTCTTTCTGAAACGCGTAGGAACTGAAAATGAAAAGTGGATCATGTACGAAAGTCCCCAAAAGAAACGAACTTGGACCGAAAGAGAAAATCCAGCAGAGTTGCAAAACCTGGTTTACACCCTTGCAAAGTTCTTCTTTCTGTATGGGATTACCAAGGAATTTTGTTATTCGAGCTGCTTCCGCAAAATCAGATAATTAATGAGAAAATTAATTAATCAGAAAATTAGCTCGAAAAATTAAGAGAAAAAAATTGCAGAAAAACGTCCAAGACTCGTAAATCGTGGTAATGTGATTTTCCATCACGACAACGCGAGACCGTATGTTGCACAAAGTGTATGAAAAAAATTACGTGAATTTCGTTAGAAAATTTTATCCCATCCACCTTATTCTCCGGACATTACACCATCGGACTTCTACTTGTTTCGATCATTATAACATTTTTTAGCTGGCAAGAAATTTAACAATGTAAACGCAATAGAAAATGCTTTACAAAAATATTTTAATGATAAACCAAAGATATTTTATACCAATGGCGTAATATCGTTGTCTAAAAAGTGGGAAGAGGTTGTGGAAAGCGAGGGTGATTACATTTTTTCATAAGCTTCATTGGTAAGATTAAAATATTATTTTATATAGTAGAAAAATAAACGTTACGAACTTATGGGACGACTTAATATAATAAAAACAATAATAGTTCCAATATAAATTCCTGTGGTATCCCGTAGCAATTAGGTCAGATCAATCATCATCATTGTGACCACATTTTAATACAACATACACATACACACAGTCCTTGTTATTCCATATAATTTACTCAATAATCTCTCTTTAACTATCGTCCCGAACACTCGTTTAAGATCCATAAATATTCCTACTATTTTTTCTTTACTGACTGTTAATTTTCAATCGTCAATCATGACCTGAATCGCTGTTTGACATGAATGTTGTTTTATAAAATTTTTTCTAAATGTATTTCTATCTGTTTTTTTACCACTAGGTCTAATATTTTCTTATATATTAAGATTGTATATATCGGACATATATTGATCGATCTATGTATTCATTAACTTATCTTGGTTTCCCTACTTTTAGGATCGATATTGTGTATATTTTTTACTCATCTAGATTGATGATTTGTTCTCAGTGAGTTATTTATCATTTCTATAAACTCTATAATAATATTTTTTAACTAATATTTTTTATCATATGAAATACTATTTTAAATATATCACTAGTTATCTCCTCTTTTGTCCTTTCTTTTTAGATAAATTCATAATAATTTGCTATTAATCAGATTAATTTTATAAACTAAGTTAATTTTTAATTAATTAAACCATCTGCCTTTCAATCATTTCAAAAATTTCTATAGTCTCCTTCAAATTTCAATAACACAAATATAGTTCTTTTATCAGTTCCCTTTGTATCATCTTCTACAAATTTCACTATGTTTCACTATATTTTATGCTTTGTACATAATCTAAGTTCGTGAGAATTTGTAAACAACATTGGTCTAGTGAATATGTCAGGTGTTGACGTCCCAACTGAGATTTATTAATAGTCTTTTGTCTTAGAAGCAATGTGTGGCCTAGCGTTGTCATGTAACAATTTTAGCAAAACATTCTCCTTTGCCAGTATACGGGCGTTTTTGTTTCAATTCCTGACTCAAATGGATTAATTTGATAGCAGTCCGCAGTAATTGTTTCATTCATTCCAATAGCTTATAATAAATCATTTATCACTCCTTGATATTCCACCAAATCAGAACTTTCTTTTCGAAACATTTAAGTTTTACGACTGTTAATGGTTTAGCGGAATTGCTGTGTTTCATAGAATATTTATCTTTTGTCTCTAGTAATAGTTTTTCACAAGAAAAGCTTGCTATTCTATTTATTAGGAAGAGAAAGATACGCTGCTACTCGTTGATTACTTGTTAGTTCTTGTTTCAATGAGTTTATGTAAACCCATTTTCTTCCTATGTGGATCTTTCCTATCTCGTGTAGGTGTTTGGAAATGGTCTAGAAAAGAAAAGAATGAGGAAATAAAGGAGAAAAAAAGAGAGAGAGGGGAGAGAGAGAGAGAGAGAGAGAGAGAGAGAGAGAGAGAGAGCATGTAAACTTCTCACTATTAATTTCTGGTTTGCTTTATCGTTCGAATACGTTATTATTTTCTCTCACAATTTACTACTTTATTTTTAGCAACGAAGCGGGGAAGAAAATCTTGCATCGACAGCTATGGCTAAAAGTTCGAAATGCAGGCCACCAGCATTTTTAGATTCCTCCGTCTCCCAAACTCGACAGAAACTTCAAATGACACAAAGTATGTCGAAGCATGTAACTAATTGTAAATTTATTTTTTTGATGCTTGAGTATTACTTATTCGTAATGTCATTGAAATATACTCTTGCTGCTTCAGCGTTTTTGATTATTTTAGAAAAAGTACTTGTTATTAAGAGCGTAAAATTAATGTTTCACAGGTTGTCCCACACCACCGAATCAACGAAAAAGATTCTTCCTCAACGCAAAAGTACTCAGAAGTTCTTTCGCTCCACAGAGATCTTCAAGACGTACAACATCCTCGCCCGAACCGATCGCAAATGACAACCCCTCCGCGTTATCAGGTACAAATTATTTTTTTTTAGTTGTAAAATAAAGAAAGGATCATGATGATTGAAATTTGGAAATATAAAGCCATAGAGGTCACATGTGAGTCAATGCTTTCATATCGTTCTCTGGAAGTTAACTTACAAAATCACGCTTCGCATTCGCTCAAAAATAATTTTCTCGACTTGATTCACATACAAAGTTTTTATAATGCCAAAACCATCTACATACGTTTTGGACGCACAGTTTGGATGACCACTTCGTGGGAGGGAAAAGCGAGATGGCCTGGCGTTGTCTTAGGGAAAATCAAGTCCCTGTGGAACAGCAGTCAAGGCACAGCTAACGATGGGCTGAATCAGCTTATTGGTTCGTCGAATAAAGCTGCAGGCAGGGAGATTCCTTAGAGTTCGATGTGTATTGTAACACATACAAGACGCTTGGTGTTTGCGAGTGAATATAGGGGAGTCTTAAATGATATAGAGTAACGAAATCGATTATGGAATATCTTTTTTGTAAATCAATATTACTACAATATAAATGCATTTTTAAATGTTCTACGTAATAGCGTAAAAATATAGAGAGATATGTTATCTATAAGGTTCAATAAAAGAGAGTATTCAAAATTTAATTGTAACTTTAATACTGACAAAACAATAAAAAGTAAGGAAATTAGGGGTTTGAAAAATGGGAGATAATATAAACCGAGAAAATACAAAGGACATTGGTGAATAAGATGAATAAAATGCAAAAATTTTTATTTTTTAAAAAGCTTCGTTTAAGCTTTTATAATTATTGGGCAAATTATTTTGTACATTAAAAAACTGTAATTACTTATTAAAAGTAAATTACTTATTAAAAGTAAATTACTTATTAATTACTTATTAAAAATCATACATTCCTTTTATGGAAAATTATATAGAAAGTTTAATAATAAATCCACACATCAGGAAAAAACAAGAAAAAATTTGTTTCATTTTTTATATGAATTATTTAGGTTATCAGTATCTTTGCAATTATTAGGACGTCTTGAATAACAAATCAAATTTTCTCGCTTTATTAAAAAGTGAGGAATAACAATTGAACGGCAAAACATTATTAATACAATTATATTGAGAGAGATATTAAATATAAAAAAATATTAGTGAACAACTTTAAGAAAACAAGAGTAACTCGATTGTCATAACGTTTAACTTTTAGGCGAAACAAAAGTAGAAAATCGTTTATATTTCCATATATGTTTCTCGTTTCTGAGTTACTTGAATGCGACAACTTCCAGTAATTGCCGTCAGAATACAAGAATATTTTATAAAAGAAATATAAGCCCGTATTTCATATTACCTGTTTATTCCATAATCGATGTCTTTACCTTAACGTGTGAGCCTTTCGACGTGCTGCATTCACTTTTGCGAGAATAACTTTCTTCCGAGCAAGATATCATTTTGAGCAAGATAAAAAATCACGATAATGTCAAAATGATGTCAAAATGATGAGAAAATTATAAAAAAATTCATTTTGTAATCACAATTCGATCATTTTCTCGTTATTTTGATATCGTTGTGATTTTCTATTCTATTTTAGAATTTCACTATGTCTATCACTATGATTTTCAACCGCGTCATTGCTTCTGCCGGAATCATGTTGCATTATGTAACTTATTTCTCTTTTGTTGAACGATGGTGATATATTTCGTGATCGTCACATTTTCTATTAACTTAATCCTCTGCCTACACACTATATTTTTCTCCCTATCACACACCTAGGTTACGCTAACCCACAAACTTTGTCGGCTCATATCTCCGAGTGAATTCAATCAATTTCAATGTTTTTTTTTTTTCAATCAAAAGGAAAAACACTCAGAATTATGATGATACTGGTTAAAAAATCGAAGATATTAAAAGAAAAAAGATTTTTTTTTTTTAAATGAGAAAGAAATGGGAAATTTTTGCGAAAAATAATTTTTGTTTCAAACGCCTGTATTTTTTTAAAGAAAAAAAGATAAAATAGTAAAGTGGTTAATGGAAAACTGAAAAGTTGAATTTTAAGAATCTATGGTCAGATTTTTTATTTTGTTCAAAAACTATATTTGGCGATATGAAAATATGAAATTTTCCGATATTTTCCGATGTCATCGAAATGAGGTGTAACGTGAAATACTCAGATTTTTCGATATAAATAAATTATTAAAAATATTTTAGTAATTTATTATTATTAATTTTCAATAATTACAAAACAAAGTAACAATAGTAATAATATTGTTTTAAACAATTATTTAATCATTTATTTATTAATTTGGATGAAATACTAAAAGAAAGTATTAATAATATTTATTTAATAAATTTATTTATTAGAAAATTATTTAATTTGTTACATAATTTTACAATTTTTCTTTGGTATAAAATCTCGAGGTCCTCAACTCGGCGTGGTCTTGCCCGTGTTATCATCTGCAAAATAAAATAATGTATTATTTAAATGCTTATGTTATATACCCGAGTAGAAATTGAATCTAGTGACTGTCTAGTCAGAAAAGTTGTGTTTTACATGAGTAAGATTAGTAGTACTAGCTAGTCACTAGCCAGGAATGTAGTGCTCACTTCTCCTAGTGACTGAATGAAAAATTAGCTAGTAGCTAGACAATAAATAGCACACAGTTATGAGATGGAAAATCTAGCCACTAGTCAGGAATGTAACGCTTACTTCGCTTACTTACTACCTAGCGGCTCTAATAGAAAAATTAGCTAGTAGCTAGATAATGAATAGTACACAGTCATAAGATGGAAAATCTTAGCTAGCCACTAGCCAGGAATGTAGCGCTAGCAGATAGATAAAAAAAGTAACTCATAGCTATCTAGCCTAGACTAGATAGTGACTACCCACATAGCACAAAAATATTAAAGCAATATTAAATATGACATTAGGGAAAATATTTGAGTAACATTTGTAAACGTGAGAAGAATATTATTCTGATCTTAAAATGTTACTTTCCGGAACATTAAAGAAATGATGCAACCAAATATTAATACAAGGTTGGTCAATATTACATTTAATGTTGCTTTGTGCTGGAAATAATATTACTTTTAATACCATAAAATGTCAGGATAATATTAAAAGAAAGGAAAAAAAATGTATATCTTTTATATATTTCATTTTTATTGAAAATTATGATAAAATATAAGAAAGAGGAATAACATCATGAAGAACATATAATACTTTCCATATATAAACATATATGCATTAAACATATTATGCCACGCTGAAAAACGTTAATCATAGTAACTAAGATTTAATTCAATAATATGTTCAACTAAATTGTTTGGTGAATACAACTACCCACATAACACGTAATATATATAATATCACAGTAATATTTCCGTAATATTTATATATTTTTGCGATATTACAATATTACGGAGATATTACTGTGATATAATGTAATATTACGTGCTATGTGGATAAATATTTAGTCAGAATGAACAAATGTTGTAATTATATATATATTTATTTTATTACATATATTTATTGTGCATACTTCGATCTTCGTATGTGTCTTCTCTGCGCATCTTTGAATAATATGCGTATGATATAAATTTCATTATATGAAAATATTATATTTATATATGCATTCAAAATCAATACAATCTTAGCAGGCAATGTTACATCAATATAGTACAACATGTTGCTTTCACGTTAAATTTTCATACATACATTTGGTACATTACTGCAATATGATATTGCTATTACAAAAATGTAACTATTTTGCTACGTTACCCCAATATTTTAGTAATATTAACATTGCTACTCTATAATATCGGACATTAATATAACATTACATTGACATTCAATAAAATATAACTTACTGCAAATATTCTGGCAACATTCTAACAATAATAACTTGTTGACTTTTGTGCTATGTAGGTAGATCGTTTTTTTTTTATTTATTTCTTTTTTTTCCTTGTCTTGAAGAGGTGGATTCAATGGAGTGAATTCTTGAGAATTCTTCTTGGTTATGTACTACTTTTATTCTATGTCCATTATATTTGAAAAATTTTCTTACCACTGCCTGGTAATCGAACTTGGGATCTCTGACTCTTGAGTCGTCCGCCTTACATACTAGACTGCTACCACAATCGATAGTGAAAGTTTTATATTAGCTACATGTGGTTTACTTAGCACAGTTATATAATGGCTAGAAAAAGATTATACAGAAACGAAAAAGATTATATAATAACCAGATTGAAAATTATTAGTAAAACCTGAATGGAAATTAAATATCAGAACTGTTTATCTACTAGATAGTACATTTGTGTATTACATCGTTACTGTTTAACTTTCTTAATTGCTAAGATAAAGCTATTACTTAGATAACTAAAACTGTGATATAAGACTATAATAACTATAAAAACTATAAAAATTGTAATAAAAATTTACTAGTAGCTGTCCAAAAAATAACAGAAATAATAATATTACAGTCTAGTCTGTAGCAAAACAGTTATGACATTTCTATTTTCAATTTTAAATTACTAATATTTTCCTATTTTATTACTATGTAATCTTTGTGTTCAGTCACAGTTGATGAGATCGGCCCGGACGACAGTGGGTGTTTACGATAATTCAAATTGGAGTTAGTACGAGTTAGTTTCACTAGGGCCGAGAAATATGATAGGCACAAGCATCTAGTATTTTCATGATTTTTGACAACTCAATGCTGTCCGATAAATCGAGTAGATAGAGTTAGGGTAGTATAGCGTATAGTATATGTATAAGAATTAACAGTATCAGATCACATAGTTTCGTAAAATATGTGACAATAATATTAAGAAACAATGATTTATTATATTTTAGAAAAATTAGAAGCACTAAATTAAATTATGAAAAGATATCATGTATTTGTGAAATATTCAATAATAATAGGTTAATAATAGGTTAGAAGAATTGTTTTCTACTTTTGGATATTTCATAAATGATACCTTTTCATAATTTAATTTAGTGCTTCTAATTTTTCTAAAACAACTCAGTAACAACTCATTGTTTCTTAATATTATTGTTATATATTTTACGAAACTACCCTAATAGCACAGATGTCCAGGGGACATCCAGAGGACATCCTGAG